AAAAGCTTTAGAGTAAAAAATGCTCCTTAGACACGTATTTTTATCAAGCGTCACGTGCACTGTAATCCACACGTGAGTTCAGCTGCACTCTCATAGACGGAAAATGAATACAAAAAACTTTCTTGCAGTAAATTTTAAAAGCAACACTGACGACCCGTATCTCCAAACAATTCTTCTTCTTCCACTTGTTTTGGCAACACAACGGGACCTTTCTCTGCCGTCTGAACACTGTACAGATACAAACAGTCTTCGAAGCTATCATGCATATTAATGAAGTTGCACCGCATACACAATAGAGTGCGCTGATTGGTTTGAACCAAGCCTTTCTCATGAATGAATGCAGCACACTGAGAGACATCATGAAGTACAAGATTTCCATACTGGAAAACACGCAAGTATCTAATCGGCCTGATGCAGCTTCAGAAATTAGTTTCAAACAGGAAGAACGAATTTGCTCGAAATAAAGCAAAAACAAACAATTTTCACTTTTTTGTGAAATAAATGTGTCCTAATAGTGTTTTTAACAGCGTGGGACACATATACGACTGTCAACAACTCAAAAATGTGTTTTGGTGTTTCGTGACCCGAAGCTGCTTTGACACAATCTACATTATAAAAGGGCTATAGAAATAAAAAATTATTGAATTGAACTAAAAATTGTATACTTGTGCAACATACATGTTTTGTGGCCCATGCAGGGTCACATTTGTTATACTGTAAATCTATTATAATTTTGAAATATTATTATCTATTAGGTTTTCAAAAATATTATTTTAAAGTTAACAAAGCGTGGAGCACAATATTACAAAAAGACCGAAAACCTAGTAAAATGTCATGGTTTCTTCTGGAAATACATTTTATTTAGCTTTTCAGTTGGGTTTAAGGTAAAGTTTAGTGTAGCTGGTATGTTATTTTCAAACACAATAGAGCATTATCCCACTCAATGGACTTTGATTTTTAAAGGTTGTGATATATGCATAATATCAAACCATAAATCATCGCCACTCTCACGTTTAACTGTTTATGAGAAAATGAAGCACTAGTGTAACTCAATTAAAACCAATGTGAAAGGTGCCAAAAGCAATGTATTATTATTATTATTTATTTATTTATTTATTCATTTTGTTTATTTATTTTGCATTAGCATTGTCTGCTCCAAAATATACACAGCACAGTAAAAGATTAAAGTTCTTCCAGTACTTCAGGAGAAAATGTAAGCTTCATTACTTCTAAGAACAAAACAACTGTGCCTTTATACAAGACGATATCTTTAAATTCAGTTATCTTGTGCAATTTAAAATGGCGTCATTGCAGTGCAGTCAGTGCAGTCAGTGCAGTGGGTAGCATGATCGCCTCACAGCAAGAAGGTCGCTTCGAGCCTCGGCTTGTTCAGTTGGCATTTCTGTGTGGAGTTTCCCCGTGTTGGCTTCTCAGGTTTCCCCCACAGTCCAAACACATGCGGTACAGGTGAATTGAATAAGCTCAATTGGCCATAGAATATGTGTGTAAATACAAGAGTGTATGGGTGTTTTCCATTGTTGGGTTGTGGCTGGAAGGGCATGCACTGTGTAAAACATATGCTGGATAAGTTGGTGGTTCATTCCGCTGTGGCGAACCCTGATTGATAACAGGACTAATCCGAAAAGAAATTGAATGAATGAATGTACAATTTAAAAACAAATCATAATCAATTTTTATGGCACCGCCATTTATTAATTAAAATAAAAATAAACACATCACAGATACTGCCAAAACTGCACATTAAACCCGTCTCCCAAGAATGTCAGTTAATGTGATGTGTTTTGCAAATCTGTGCCAGCGTTTCTCTGGGTCTCAGTGGAAGTGACTGCTCAGAACAGCCAGTGTGTCCTCTGGAAGAAAGTGTCCTGAGATGCAACACAGGTGACAACGTGAATCAAGCAATGCGGCACACTTAATGAAAGCTTTTGTTAAGTCTACAGCTGTGTTTTTCCCTCTGTGCTTTTGTGAGCCAGGCCAGGTGACAGGCACAAGATAAAAATAGAGAGACAGGAGGGAAAAAAGTACATGGATGGATGGAATAGAATCCGAGGCTAGAACGTGCTATTTATTCTGATGTAATTTCAAACGACTAGAGTGTTTATTAAGTGCCCTGTAATGCGAAGTATTAGATAAATTGGAAGATTTCTGCAAATGGGCTTCTGTTTCCCCAAAATCTGTTTTCTTGCATTGTCGGAGTGAATAAAAACAAAAACATTACACCACAAATGACTCCAAGTTTCCCATTTGTTATTTAAATTTATTCAACATTTTCAAAAGATAGAGTAGGACTGACAAACATAGCATAGATTCATTTAATTTACAGCTTTATTGTTTCTTTTATATCTTCTCTGTAGAGGCTTAGCTAAACGTGTCTGATGCAATCTCATTGGCTCTATATCACGTCTTTGACCGGCTAAAGCATAGAACATTTCTCAAACCAATAATGTGGCGAAGACAAAATATAGTTCATGCTCTGGTGTTGGTACTGACACACACATACACACACCCAGCCACACACACACACACTTACAAATGCACATGCACGCTTACAAATAAACCTCATTTGCACACATTCATTCATCCCGCCGGGAATAAAATACTGCTGCGTAAATATTCTCTCTGCATGTAGTTGCATTTGTTATCAGGAATGATTGATTGGCAAGTGAAGAACCTCAAGAGCACCTCAAATATGCGTCTCCACACCTCTTCAAAAACTTCTGTTTTGATTATTTTATTTTTTAAAAACCCATTTGACGTCTGAATTTCATGATTAGTGTTTAGGTTATATCTGCTTCTGCTTCTCTGCTTTATATCTGAAATTGCATGCTGTTTAGTAGATTTGACTTAAAAAAGTGTAATGTCCACCTTTTTCCTGTGTAACTGATGAAAGGTGATAGATTCTAACTTTTATTTGAATGCTGTCTTGTTCTGGTCACCATGTAACTACAGTGCTCAGCGTAATTGAGTACAGCCCATTTTGAAAATTTATATTTTTATCCATTTCTCAGTAATATAGGCAATTTTGGTGCATTTAAACAAAACAGATTTATTAAACAGATATATTTATTAAAATAATATTTTATCCACCAAACATATTTAGAAATTGAAGGATAATACAATTAAATGCAAGCAACATATTGCAAAACAGAATTACAACAGACAAAATTTCAAGTAAATTTTTCTATATTTTTGCTTTTCTTTATTTTTCCTCTTTTTTATATTTGTATTTAATATTTTTCTATGACGTATAAATACGTCTATGACGTATTGGATGTTCTTGCTTTTGGAGCGTTATTGTAGGTTTTTTTTTTGTTAGATAAGCTCCAGATTTGGCTTCAGCACTGACTAATCTAATGTTTATGCACAAATATAATACTGTATAGCTTCCTATTAAAATATGAATTTAAAAGATAGATTTGTGAAGGGTTTACTTACATATGCTGAGCACTGTACATGTTAAGAAATAAATGGAAATAAAAATGAAAACTTGATTTGTGCACTACTATAATATATTTACTTAAAAAGGTATATGTGTGCTTTAATACTTTTCACAACAACATCAATTTTCACCCTGAGATTAAGGTAGGATAAAATCGTTTATCTATATTCATTGTAGCAATCATCAGAGCACTTTTTGTCATTTACTCATTGATTAATGCTGTTAAGTGATAGAAAATTCATAGGCTTAACCCCATCCTTCCTTTCTGTTCTTATTTATTTGGTCTAGAAATTAAATCAAGAGTTAAATTTGTTTGTGGGGAACAAAATCATACAATCTTGTATTTGTTGGTTTCTGCCATTACAGAGTCATAAACTCTCAGTAATAATGGTTCAAAATCTGTCAGTGGGGTGGTAGCTGTTCAAGGTGGTACCATACAGGTGGACATTAGTATCTTTAGAGTACACACTGTAAAACCCCAAAAGTTAAGATAACTCAAACCATTTGAGGAAACCGATTGCAACAAACCATTTAACTACAAAAACTAATATATATATGAGTACTGTGAGCTTACTCCATTTGAGCAAACAAAGCAATTTGAACACAGTAAAACCCAATAAATGAAGAGAACTCAAACCAACTGAATACTGTAAAACTCAGTAAGTTAAGGCAACTCAAACCGTTTGAGGAAACCGATTGCAACAAACCATTTGAGTTAAAAACTAATCTATATGAACAGATTAGTTGTGAACTTACGCTATTTAAGTAATGAGGTATTTAATGAACTCATTATCTTCAACACTGAGTTCAAAACTCTTTTCAAATGAGTAGAGTAACTTTCAGTAAATTTTAACTACAGTAAGTTAACTACAGTAAGTTAACTATCAGTAAATTAACTACACTCATTTCAATTGATAAAGTTGACTGTTGGGTTTTACAGTGCAGTTTTGTACCGTTCAGGTTCACTTTTGCACTTTTAAGGTACTGTGAGGTACACATTTGTACTTTTTAGGTATTAATATGTACCTTTAAGGACCTCACATTTTGTAACATTATTTCTGAGAGTGTAAAGAAAGCAATCAAGATTGGATAAAAAATTTCCAACTTTTTTTCTGTGTGTGCATTCCAAGTTCAAGTGTGACAAATATTGAAAAGACCCAAAGAAAATAACTTATTTAATCAACAACATGCTAATTTGACTAGAAATAAGAAACAGGATAAAATTCAGTGCTCAGGAAAAAGGTGGATTTTGTACTGAAAGTGTGTAGTATGAAAAAATACATCTGCCATGTCAAAAGTGTCCAGAGGATGTGCACTTTCATGCATACTGTGATTTCTCACATACTACTCACATTTACACCTACTGTTTATGGTATGGAAGTAGACATATTCAGAATAATCCCTATAAAGCAGTATTAGTGTGATTTTTATAATTCAAAACACCAACCATTTTTTTCTAAATGCTATTCTTCACATTTGACCTTTGTTGTTTAATTAGCTTCAGAAAAATAACCCTTTAAAATGATTTCTTTCGACTGTCACATTCAGGCTCTGCATTTATTCCCCACACCACGTTAACAAATACTAAAGCATACGCATAAACATCCTTTAAACCATCATTTACAGTCACTCATGATTATACGAAAGAGAACAGACTGGTACAAACTCATCTGCAGTCACTGGCAGGGGCAGGAGGAGACCAAGAGGAGGGAGTTTCGGGTCGAGTGCTAATTGACGGGGAGGAAAAGGATCATAGGAGGAGGGAATAGCAGCAGAGTATCAATTGTCTAAACTGAGTATCAAGTGCCTGTAAAGAAAAAACAAAATGAAAACATTCATTCACAACGCTCATTGGCTACTGCAGTCCCAACAGAGAACAACACATATGGAAAGAATGCAGATGAAAACCAGTTACCAACAATAGCCAACAGGAGGCGCTGTGTCCAATGTAGAGGTGAGGAGAAATCGAACACCAGCGTTATAATTCTATGAATACAGAACTTGTCATCATATATCCTTTAAAAGAAACACTTTTTTTCCACAGGGATATTTCAAAATTAGATATTTGTCGGTAAAGAAAGTTTTACTGAGGAGAAGCACACCATGAAGAGGTTAAAGATCTCTGCAAGTCACTCTTGGAGTCTTAAATGAAACCCTCTTTCAAAACTGAAAGAGAAAAATGTCCTATTTATCACTTTATTTCCTTGTTTTAAATCAATCGGTGAGGTGGTTCAAAGAGAAGCTACTGAACCCTTGTTCCACAGTTTGAAGTAGAAGTGCTGAAGCAACGGTGAGATCCTGATAAAAAAAAAAAAAGCGCTGGGTTGATGAATGCTCCTTTTCCTTTCGCTTTTCCTCTTTCTTTCCCCAACTCCTTTTCCTCTGCACTCACATATTCAGTCAGCGTACAGAATGAAGCCAGAGAAGGTACTGTATTTGTTGTTGTTGCCCCCGTGGGCTTTGCCACCATCCAGTTTGATGTAGACTTCATCGCCAGCGTCTAGATGCAGAATCACACTGTTCGAGGCGTAGTCATAGTTCTGATCAGCATCTTGAGCAATCGCACTGGCTCGCACCTACAGGAGAGACAGAAAGAAAGAAGAGAGAAAACTAACAAGGAGGTTCAGCAATGGAAAATAATAGTCTTAGATTTAGCTGGTTAGTTGGATTTGTTAATCCCGAAGAATACTAGGGATTATGCTAGTGTACAGCACATGCAGAGGAAAGGTCTTCTTGTGTTCTAAAATCTGGTCCTGAATCGCTTCTTACTTAAGCCCAACATTCCTAAATTAGCTCAAACGGAAAAACCCAACCTCAGACACCCGATAAATACACGATAAACTGAATGACATTTTTTTTCATTTCCAACCCAGACCCAGATGTAAACAGAATAGGTGCACAGTAAAGAACATTTCTGGTCCTGCTAACTGATTTGGAAAATGACTCTCATTTCTGTATTTACTTCTTGCAGTATGATAGTACTATCGGATGTATACAAGTTAATCCTGAGTTTGGGTTTTAACTGCGATTAGAAGAGTGAAAAAAGAAAAGAAAATACAAATTAAATCAATAGACTAACAGATCCTTAATTCACTGGTGTTGTCTGAAACATTTACCTCATCTTTTTCTGATGGATCTGATGTTTTTTTTTTTGTTATTTCTAGTCTTTTTCTTCATAAAAGTTACTTGAACATACTGTTTAACTAGACACTATATCTAGAATGCCATTTCATCCCTCAGTGATTATCACTGTAATTTCATTAAATCAGAAACTCCTACTATTCATACATTCTCCTTCAGCTTAGTCCCTTATTTGGGTTGCCTCAGTCAACCGCCAACTACTCCGGCTATGTTTTACACAGCAAATGCCCTTCTAGCTGCAACCCAGTACTGGGAAACACCTATTTACAGACACACACACACACACACACACACTCATAAACTACGGCCAATTTTGTTTATACCACATGTTATTGGACTGTGGGGGAAACCAGAGCACTCAGAGCAATCCCACGTAAACACAGGGAGAACATGCAAACTCATTACAGAAATGCCAAATGAGCCAGCCATGAATCAAACCAGCGACCTTCTTGCTATGAGGAAGCAATTCTTACCACTGAGCCACTGTGCCACCCAAACTCTTACTATATCAACTAAAAGTATCCAGGATTTTTTCAAATAAATACGTTGTTATCGGGACTTTTTTTTTTGGGGGGGAGGGAGCACATTTATTTTGAATTGCCCAAAATCCAAGGCCACTAATAGAGTACCTGACCCATGTCCACGGCACTCGTCACAGTTCTGTCAATTGCTGTTTGTTACTTTTGTACAATGTTTACACAGATAACGTACATGCAATTACAAGTACATGCAAAAAACTTACTTTGTTTGTTTACCAAGACAATAAGTGCACTATCATTTTTGTGAGAAAAGAGAAAAAAGAGAACAGCAACAAACTACTAAAGCCAGCAACACCTCCTGATATGTGCTTGTGTGAGATGATTAAAATGTATAAACAACTCTATTTTAAAATATTTTATTCCATGGTCTGTTGAAATTCTTGATTCTGATTAGCTGGAGGGTGTGCATTAAATTTATTTAAATGCACAGGTAGTCTCAGTCAGTTTATATTATGGTTTAAAATAAATGTGCTTTTCCCAAACATTAATTGTAACCATAGCTACTGTTATGAGTGACAGTTGCCGGAGCCTTCATTTTTCTGTAGTGCGGACGCATGTGTTCAATAGCTGCTAAACACTGCCTTCTCTTCGCTGCTGAGTTCATTCTTCAACCCATTGTATGTGTGAGCTGGAGAAATAGATTTTAACTTTGTCGTTAATAAGCTTAGGTTTTGTATTAAAATCAAAAAAATGTATAAATTAAAACGTTCTCTCACCAGTCCTAATATGTTTAAACAATTTCTTTTGCAAAAACAAATATGCATTTGACTGCAAATGAGATTTCTGATATGGGAAAATATAGCTGCATTTTCAAACACCACAACATTCCACACCCGTGAGCTGGTGTTTTTCATAAAATATAGCTTTATGAATGTTTCATTTCATATGTATAGTCTTTAATGTGTTTTTAATAATTGTATTTTATTTAAAGCCACATTAATGGATGTGTATGTGTGTATTTGTTGAATGATCAGTAATTTTGCATGATCAACTCCTTGGCATAATAATTATAATATTGTTTTATTATTAGATATTTTAATTACCTTTGATGTTAATTATAATAATAATATTAATAATAATAATAATAATAATAATAATAATAATAATAATAATAATAATATAGCTTATATAGCCCCCCTTGGATTTTAATTTTCTTTTTTAAATATTTCCCAAATTATGTTCAACAGATCAAGGAAATTTTCACAGTGTTAAGGCCATTTTTAATTATTTAAAAGGCATTTTAAGGGCAAAACTATTAGCCCCTTTAAGCTATATTTTTCTTGATAGTCTGCAGAACAAACCATCATTATACAATAACTTGCCTAATTATCCTAACATGTATAGTTACCCTTATTAATCTAGTTAATCCTTTAAATGTCATTTTAATCCCTATAGAAGTGTCTTGAAAAATATCTAGTAAAATATTATTTACTGTCATCATGACAAAGATAAAAGAAAGATATATATATATATATTATCTTTGTCATGATGACAGTAAATAATATTTAACTAGATATTTTTCAAGACACTTCTATATATTATTGTATTGGAAATAAAATATATAGCCTGTCCAGTGTTGGGGAAAGTTACTTTAGAAAGTAATGCATTACAATATTGAGTTACTCCCCCAAAAAGTAAATTGTTACTTAGTTATTTTTTATGGTAAGTAATGTGTTAACATTACTTTTGAGTTAATTTTGTGATACTTTTTGGCTTGATCTCTTTCAGAACTTGTTTATTTTTCTTTTTAATAGAGGAGCTCTACAATTAGCAATGCATGGTATAACCTACACCTTTAAAGAACACATAAAAAAATTAATTAGGAAAATGTTACTTCCTTACTCCAGAGCTCTACATGCTGTATACAGATTATATAAAGTCTAAAGCAATGTGTTTGCTAATTTTGTACTATTTGTCTTAAGTAAAATCACAGTCCATTGAGAATGTAATCCCTTTTTCTTTTTTTCGAAGCGTTCAAAATAATGAATCTCTCAATGACTGCATAATTCATTGTGACTAGTTTAATTTTAATTCAACAATTTATTTTTTAAAAGCTCATTAATTAAACTAAAAAGTAACTTGCATTACATTTTTCAAAAAAAAAAAAGTCAAATATAATTACTTATGTTTTAAAAGTAAGGCATTACTTTACTTGTTCCTTAAAAAGTAATATTGTTACATAATTCACGTTACTTGTAATGCATTACAGTACCTCAACACTGCCTATCATTTCATTAGTCAATGCTTAAAGTAGCATATTCATGTTTAATTGCTCTGCTCTTTGGATGGTCCATTGGAAGGATTTATTGTGCAATAACAACCACATGAATGCACTTTATCCTTTACATAAAAAATAAAAATAAACATTTTGATTACTTAACTTTTAGAAAGAAGAATAGCAACTGGACAAGGATGATCACGCATTATATGATGGAAGACACTTTAAGATACAGTTGAAGTCAGAATTGTTACCCCCCTGAATTGTTAGCCCCCTTGTTTATTTTTTCCCCCAATTTCTGTTTAATGTAGAGAAGATTTCTTCAACACATTTCTAAACATAATAGTTTTAATAACTCATTTCCTATAACTAATTTATTTTATCTTTGCCATGATGACAGTAAACCATATTTCACTAGATATTTTTCAAGACTCTTCTACGACACTTCTTCTAAGTGACATTTAAGGGCTTAATTAGGTTAACTAGGCAGGTTATTGTATTTAGGCAAGTTATTGTATAACGATGGTTTGTTCTGTAGACTATCGAGAAAAAAATAGCTTAAAAGGGCTAATTATTTTGACTTTAAAATGGTGTTTAAAAAATTTAAAACTGCTTTTATTCTAGCCGAAATTAAACAAATAAGACTTTCTCCAGAAAAAAAAAAATATATATATATATTATCAGTCATATTGTGAAAATGTCTTTGCTCTGTTAAACATAATTCGGGAAATATTTAAAAAAAGTAAAAAAAGGTAAAAGGGAGGCTAATAATTCTGACTTTAACTGAATGTGTGACAATCTGCATTGTATTTGCTTATGCTCACTTTGAGCTTTACATAATTGTTGGTATAGTTTAGACCAATTTGAGAAATATAAACAAAAACCTGTTTTTCAAATTTTTTTTTCCATAGCTTCTGAGAATCCAAAAAGAGACATTTTGATAAATATTGTTATGAAAGCTGTTTTAACGTTGAGTTAGGGTTAAATTGTCTCTTGTTACAGGTATGAAATGGTTTGATAACAAGTAGGAAATGTTAATGGGCCAATGACATGACCACATTGAAATGGTCTATAGCTTCCCCAACTCACAGCCATATATGAAAGTAACACTTGAGGTCATTAGCTAAAATAAAGGGAGATTATGTGCCAGTAACTGCCATTGGGATGAATGTGAATGTTAATGGATAGCTTTCTCCGTCTATTAATGATAAATCATGCAGTGAGAGTTATTGTACAAGCTATTCAGCTTAACGGTTGACACCAAGGTAATGAATGAATTTTAGTGGCAATTTTCTTTTCTGCCTTTGATACTTGAAAATCCGCAACCTCTGTGAAGGTTAAATCTCCCTCATTAAACAGGAACTATCAGATAACCACCAACACAAGACTCCGGGACACTTAAATACACGCAAGCATTGACACACATTCAGACTGGCTTAAAATTGATGACAACTGTTACCGTTCACCTGAGCGGCCCGGGAAAAGATTGAGACAGGGATGGGTTTAATATATGTGGATTTGTTCGAGTAGCGCACAACAGCATTCTGGAAATTGCTGAGGATTTCTGTAATCTGTCTGGTGAATTAAAGTTCGAGCTGGTAAAGGCATGAATATGTACAGCATGACTGCTTGGATTTTGCTCGCAACAAGCTGTGAAATGCGAGCATGCTTTAAAAGC